GACGACAGTGTACTGATGGATCTCAGCATACCAGTTTGCCATTCTGTGTTTTTTAATTGGGGGCATTTAGCCCATTTTCACTTGAGTTTAGTATTGTTATGTGTGAATTTGATCCTGTCATCATGATACTAGCTGGTTATTTTGCAGGCTTGTTCGTGTCGTTGCTTTATAGTGTCACTGGTCTGCATACTTCAGTGCATTTTTGTAGTGGCTGCTACCTATTTTCCCTTTCCATATTTGGTGCTTCCTTCAGAAATTCTTGCAAGGCAGGCCTGCTGGTAGCAAATTCCTGCAGCATTTGCTTGTCTGAAAAGGATTTTATTTCTTCTTCACTTATGAAGCTTAGTTTGGCCAGATATGAAATTCTGGGTTGAAAATGTTTTTCTTTAATAATGTTGAGTATTGGCCTCTAATTGCTTCTGGCCTATAGAGTTTTTACTGAGAGGTCCTCTTTTAGCCTGATGTGCTTCCCTTTGTAAGTGACATGGCCTTTCTCTCTCATTGCCCTTAACATTTTTTCTTTCATTTCGACTTTGGAGAATCTAATGTTTACATGTCCTAGAGTTGATCTTCTCCTGGAGTATCTCACTTGTATTCTCTTCATTTCCTGAGTCTGAATGTTGACCTGTCTTGCTAGGCTGGGGAAGTTCTCTTGGATAATATCTTGAAGTATGTGTTCCAGCTTGGCTCCATTCTCCCCATCTTTTTCAGGTACCCCAATCGGTTGCAGGTTTGGTCTCTTTACCTAAAGCAGCTGATGACCATCCCTAACCCGACTCTTACACTACACTCTGGTGTATGAAAGTGTATTTATTCATCCATCACTGAGTCAGGGTCTGCAGGATAGACCTCCACAGGTGGTGTTCAATGTCTCAGGTGGTGACCCCAATGTGATACTCATCACAGCTGGTGCCAAAACAGGGACACCAGCTGTGGCATTGATCACATCAGTTCTCTTCACACTGGGGCAGCAGCTGGCATTGGTCACGTCAGTGGGTCCCTGTTCAGGTGCCAGCTGTGACAAGTATCATGTTGGGGTCACCACATGAGACGTTGATCACCACCTGTGGAGGTCTGTCTTGCAGACCCTGACTCAGTGACAGATGAATAAATACACTCTCACACACCACAGTACAGTGTAAAATTTCGGCTAGGGATGGTCATCAGCTGATCTCAGAGGGTGATTACAGCTAACAAACCCCTACTCCCTGTTCCTCCTCACATTTATTCAGTATAAATTTAACAACAGAGGTTTTAAGTCAACATGCTTGTGTATAATTAATATGGTTAAAAGAGTGGTTTTATGAATAATAAAAGGTCTTGGTTCTGGGGCCCAGAATAAACACCATTAATGGGTAATTCCCCTTTGACCACCCCCTGAGAGGACCATCCAGCACAAAGTTTACATGAGTAAACAAATTAGAGTAGGGACAAAGGAATGTGGGGTAAACAGACTTACCTGGGAAAGCTTCTATTATCCTAATCTTTACCCTATGACTTAATGCTCTAAGGCAGGCATCCACAAACTACGGCCCGTGGGCCACATGTGGCCCCCTGAGGCCATTTATCCAGTCCCCCACTTCACTTCAGGAAGGGTCACCTCTTTCATTGGTGATCAGTGAGAGGAGCACAGTATGTGGCAGCCCTCCAACGGTCTGAGGGACAGTGAACTGGCCCCCTGTGTAAAAAGTTTGGGGACGCCTGCTCTAAGGTAAGAACTGGTTGCCTTCAGCCAGTCTCATTAAAACTTTTCCTTCCAGAAGGTTTGAGACTATAATCTATAACTTCCCTGATATTTCCCTTAATATTTTGCCAGCCACCTGAGTGGATCCCAACAATATAACTCCATATTTCTTGGAGGTTTTGTTCATTCCTTTTCATTCTTTTTTCTCTCTTATCTGCCTGTCTTATTACAGAAAGATAGTCTTCAGGCTCTATAATTCTATCCTCCACTTGGTCTATTCTGCTATTGATATTTGTGATCAATATCTTGTGTGGTGGTTTTCAGCTCCAACAGATTGGTTATGTTCCTCTTTTTTTTTTTTTTTTTTTTTTTTGAGACGGAGTTTCGCTCTTGTTACCCAGGCTGGAGTGCAATGGCGCGATCTCGGCTCACCACAACCTCCTCCTCCTGGGTTCAGGCAATTCTCCTGCCTCAGCCTCCTGAGTAGCTGGGATTATAGGCATGCGCCACCATGCCCAGCTAATTTTTTGTATTTTTAGTAGAGACGAGGTTTCACCATGTTGACCAGGTTGGTCTCGATCTCTCGACCTTGTGATCCACCCGCCTCGGCCTCCCAAAGTGCTGGGATTACAGGCTTGAGCCACCGCGCCTGGCTATGTTCCTCTCTTAACTGGCCATTCCGCCTATCAGCTCCTGTATTGTCTTATTATAATTCTTAGTTTCTTTGTATTGCATTAGAACATGCTCCTTTAGCTCAGCAAAGTTTTTTATTACCCAACTTCTGAAGCCTACTTCTGTCAGTTAAGCCATCTCAACTTCAGCCTAATTCTGTGCTTTTGCTGGAGAAGTATTATAGTCACTTAGAGAAGAAGAGGCACCCTGGCTTTTTGAGTTTTCAGCATTTTTGCATTAACTCTTTATTATCTTTGTATGCTTATCTACTTTTGATCTTTGAGGTCACTGACTTTCAAATGGGGTTTTTGTGAGATCTTTTTTGTTGATGCTGTGGTCTTCTGTTTGTTTTTCTTTCAATAGTCAAGCCACATTTCTGTGGGGCTGTTGCAGTTTGCTGAGGGTCCACTCCAGACCCTAATTGCCTCAGTTTTTCCTGTACCTGGAGGTATCACCAGTGAAGCCTTCAAAACAGCAAAGACAGCAGCTTGCTCCTTTTTCTAGAAGCTCTGTCTCAGGGGTGTACTGACATGTTGCCAGCCCAAATACACCTGTAGGAGGTGGCTAGGGACCCCTGTTGGGAGGTCTTACCCAGTCAGAAGGAATGGGATCAGGGACCTGCTTAAAGAAGAAGTCTGGCTGCTTTTTGGTTGAGCAGGTGTGCTACACTGGAGGGTCCCTTCCTTCTCCAGACTCTCTGGACTCTCCAAAGCTGGCAAGCTGGAACGGCTGAGTTGACTGAATGGAAGAGATGGTGGCCACCTCTTCCCACAGCTCTGTCTTAGGAAGAGTTCGAAGCTCTGTCTGTATAACCTTGGTTGGAGTGGCTGAAGTCCCTGCAGGGAGGTCCCACCCAGTAAGAAGTAATGGACGGGGGTCCCACTTAAAGAAGCAGTCTGGCCATGATCTGGCAAAGCAGCTGTGCCATGTTGTAGGGGACTCTTCCACCTCTGGATCATTTGAACCCTCCAAAGCTGGCAGGCTGGAATGGCTGAAGCCGGTGAATGGCAGAGATGGCAGCCACACCTCCCCCCAATAATTTTCATATTAGGGAAATAAAATTTTTGTTACATTGGGTTAAATACAATGTATAATGTAAATTAATATTACCTGCTTGTTTCTACTTTTCAAATGTGATTATTAGAAAATTTAAAATTAAATGAGTGACTCACATTACATTTCTGTTGGGCAACACTAGTTTCTAGCATAGAGAACATCTTGGCTATTTCTCAAAGATTGCACTGTTCATGTGCCTCATAGCAGAAAAACATAGAAATGTGGCTTATCCATGTTGTGACAGATGCAATGCAGGTATACAGGTCACCAACTAAATTGCAGGTTCCATAAAGGCAGGGACTATTTTTTATCACTGTATTCCCAGCACCTACATCATCAGGTACTTAGTGGATGCTCCAGAAATATTTGTTGAAAAAGAATGAATGAATAGTACTATCCCCAGGTTTCTCAGTGCTTAGCAATTGTGAATGTTCAATTAATGTAAGATGATTGAATCGGATCTTATCCAGATGGACAGCATAGTGGAAAGAATATTAGTGTTGGAATTAGACATACTTTGCTAACTATATGACCATGGGCAATTTGTTTTAATGGACTTTTAAAGAAGTTATAGCTTTCCACCATGGATAGTTTGAAAAAAAAATTAAGAAAATATGCATACACCAGAAAACAGAAAGAAAAACATGTTTAAAGATAATTTCATGCAGTTGTATGCTGATAAGTGTTCAATTAGTTCTTGATTGGGTGTGTGTATTCATATATAGATACAATTTATACTTAGTATAAATTTTATTGACTTGAAAAATGTGTAGCACAGTTTCATTAATGATAATAAAATATATAATAGTCTTTATTTTAAATTCCATAAAGAATTTATTTTGCTGAGAGGGCACTAGAAGATAAATTCCAATTATTCTTACAGAATGCTTTCACTGATTTTGCTAAGCACTTATATCCCTAAGCAGCCTATAGTTGTAATTAATGCATGAGTATAGTTCCAATACAAACATTGGTTGATATTTTCATTTAAGTTAAATGATAAGAAAAAAGTTATTCAACAAAGACGTACGTATCGGAGCTTCATTCATTTATCAATGACATGAGCAACTTCTTTCCTGAATTGAATAATGGTTTCCAAATGCCAAAAGAATACTTCCTATTTTTTGTGCTATTCACAATGTAATGGCTACAGACATTACATACTTTGAAGTTTAATCTGCATTTCTTCATTGTTATTTTAAGTATACAGCAACAATCATCAAAACAGCAAATCAAGACCTAGTTTATAACAATTGCCAATTTCTATGGGGGAAATACTCCTACCATGGCTGATTTTAAGACATGCAGAGTTGGAAAGACATGCCCACAGGTTCTCCATTGACAAAGGGCAGATATAATAGAAATAACTTCAAGAGCATAGACAGTAAGAAAAAGTCAAAAAATGCTTAGAAAATGATCAGTTTTGAGTATTTACTACCCTTATTTTTAACATAATGTATTTAAGTTTTTATAATTTAATTTTTAATGATAGCTTGCAAATTTTTTCTGAGAATTTAACAATTGGCTCCCACAAACTAGTACAAGCCAGCTCCAGCTCACCACTGGCTCATGTGTCTGCCCCTCCTAGGTCGGCTTGGGAAACCAAAAATTACACAGAGTTTAATGACATCTGTGAACAGCACCTGTAATGTCACACTGACATGCTCTGTGGAGAAAGAAGAAAAGAATGTGACATACAGATGGAGCCCCCTGGGAAAAGAGGGTAATGTCCTTCAAATCTCCCAGACTCCTCAGGACCAAGAGCTGACTTACACATGTACAGCCCAGAACCCTGTCAGCAACAATTCTGACTCCATCTCTGCGCAGGAGCTCTGTGCAGGTAACCAGCTCTGTTCTTCTCTCCTGGTGAGTCCCAGCGATCACTCTGAGGAGCTGCAAGGTCTGAATGTGGGCCACGTTCTCTAGAGAAATGTGCTTCCTTTATGTCTGGCCTAGTTCTGGGGGCATAACCTCTCAAGTAGCCCACCGGGAAATGGGCCAAAGCCTTTTGAGAGATGCTAGACGTGTCTGGGTGTTCTATGGCAACCCCTGCTCAACTCTCTGATCCAGTTTCTCATCCTGGCTTTTAATAGCAGAAAGTTTAGTTTCCCTGGGAGCTTTGGCACCCCTTTCAAGTGCACCCAGTTTTCATAATTCCCCTCCCTGTGGACAAACCTGTCCAGCCTCTTGGGCCTCGTTCCTGAGAATAAAGACTCATTGCATCTTCTATTTTCAGATATCCCAATGAGCTTCCGTACTCACCACACCAGTTTGCTGAGCGTGCTGGCTGTATTCTTTCTGCTTGTTCTCATTCTATCTTCAGTGTTTTCGTTCCGTTTGTACAAGAGGAGACAAGGTAGGATTTTCCCAGAACGTAAAATGTGGAAACTCACCTTCTTTCTTCCCAGAACTGAAGCCATTTATCCAAGGTGCTGCAGAGAGGTCCGTTGTTCCAGGCAATCAGTCTTCCTCCAATCCCCACCCCACCACCTCCCAAATGAAGGCTCTGAGGATGGTGTGACATTACCCCGAATGGCCTCCAGAATCCATTCCTGTGTACACCAGTATCTGGTGGGCCCAGAACATGGGTTCTAGTTTAGTACCTACATGAGCAAGCTGTGCTTCCTTGGACAAGTATGATCACCTCTCCAGCTCCGTGTCCTCACATGTGAAATGTCTGGACTAGAGGATCTCCAGGGTCACTTCCAATTTCATTGTATTTTGATAATGACCATTGGAGAGTCACTGAGAAACATGTTCTAATTCTGTATTCCATGGTTGTCACTAGATCCCTCTGAATCCCTCTGATCATTCTGTAGTTGTGCCATTCCCAATTCAGAAAACCTAATCTTAGAACCCCAAGGGATCGTTACACCCTCCTATTCACCCACATCCCATGTCCTCCCAAGACATGTTTCACTCCCAGTCAGTGGGGGTGGAAGTCTCAGCTTGGACCATTTATCAGCTACCAGTTATTTTATCATGGTAAGCTTCCATTTACTCAGTTGTAAACTATTCACAGTAAAGGTGTGCTGCATATACTTATTAAGTGAATGAAACAGAATTAGAAATATAAAATACTTTGCCCAATTCCCAGTATATAGTAAGTACTTGGTAAATGTTAGCCAGTATACTGAGAACTGATGGGCCTGAGGCATGGTACGGAGGAGGCGTTCTAGGGGGAAGGGGAATTGTGACATCTGTCATTCTCAAATGGCCTCACCATGGGGAGAATTCACAGCCTGCCTGAGCCACAGGTGATCTGGAAGGTCCTGCAAAGAGGTATCGATCTTCCATCCCTCACTGCCTTTTGGAAAGAGAAAAGGGCTATTCTCTGCATCTATAAATGAGATAAGAGAGAGCATTCAGTTTGTCTCATACTCACCAAATATGAGGCAGGGACTGGGACAGGACTAAGCTCTGAATGTTGGAGCTCTGTAATACTGCTCAGCTCAGACCTGCTATTTGCAGATATGTTGGTGCCCTGGATTATGAAGGCCCAAAATTCTGGTCGTCTTTTTTCACCTTGACCCTAAAATGTTCTGTGTTAGTACCAAAGCAAAGGAGAACACTGACATGAATGTCTCTTCTAGTCCGTACATTTTTAAAAGGAAAGACTTACCTACTGTCTTTTCTTCTTTGGGACCTCACACAGAGCCTGGCACATAGAAGGAGCTTAATAAATGTTTATTAACTGTGTGGATTGGTTGGGTGCCATGGCTCATGCCTGTAATCTCAGCACTTTGGGAGATCAAGGCAGGTGGATGGGCTGAGCTCAAGAGTTCGAGACCAACCTGGGCAACATGGTGAAGCCCTGTATCTACCAAAAATACAAAAATTTGCTGGGTGTGGTGGCACATACTTGTAGCCCCAGCTACTCAGGAGGCTGAGGTGGGAGGATCGCTTGAGGCTGGAAGGCAGAGGTTGCAGGGAGTCATGAGTGCACCACTGCACTCCAACGTGGGTAACAGAGTGAGAGATCCTGTCTCAAAAACAAAGACAAACTGTGAATCAATCACACAAGCAATAAATGCTCATGGAACATCCACTGTGTGCTTAACATTGAGATGGTTACAGCAAGGTCTGCACCAAAAGAATGCAAAACTGTGTATACGTAGAGGGAATCAATCAAGTTAAAAAAACTAAGACGGTGACATGGAAAGTCAAGTCATGCCATGCAAGACAGGCAGTCAGTGGTAAATGTCAGAGAGATAAAGCGAGATCGTGGGTGGAAGAGCTTCCTTTGACTACCTACACAGGGAGGGGTAGGGAAATTCTCTTTAGCCTCATCTGGACTCTAGAGTAGAAGAGAATTCCCACTGAGCTGTGCTTGAGGCCTCAGCCAGGTGCCTCCTGAGACATTCTGAGGATCCAAGCATCCATCTCAAAGGATGGGAGCCATTTAACCCCTGGCGGCTTCCTTTTTTCATCTTAAAAAGAGCACATTGGAATAGATCATCTCTTTAAAAAAAAAAAAAAACCCACCTTTCACAGACTGTGGATCTATATGTATTTGTGAGACAGATGCTGCTTCAAAGAAAACCACATACACATACGTCACGGCTTCAAGGTACACCCAGCCAGCAGAGTCCAGAATTTATGATGAAATTCTCCAGTCCAAGGTGAGCTGATGCTATTCATGGACACCCCTGTGCCACCATCTCCATGACGGGGAGTCACGGGCAGCCATTGCCCTCTGCTTGTTGTTGTCTAGAAAGTAGTCACGGTCCAACAGTCTGGAGGGTCCAACCAGGAATGCCATGTCAGGGAAGTGAAGCCACGGATCTTTCTATGAGGACAGGAACATGACCCATTGTCACCCCGTGGCAGCCTCCAAGGGCTGAGGCCCTGAGCTCCCCACAGGGGGCCTGGCTCCCGGTTAGACGAGCCATGACTAGGAGTAAGGCGCCCCCTAGAGGGGCCACGCAACAGAGGAGCTCCTGACATGAGGTGAGGGCTGCCATGTGACTACCAACTGAGGTGCGCAGGTTGCTAAGGGAGCTCCGAGGCTGCAGAACTGGCAGAGAAGTTCCCTCGAGTGCCCCTCCTGGCCTAGCAGCAGCGGCTTGCTTTCCTCAGACTCAGAATCACTGCCCCACACTCCTCTCCGCCCACCCCCTCCACCCTGGATCACCTTCTCTTGTGTCCCCACCGGCCTGCTTCCTTGAAGTCTGCAAGGGATCAAGGGGGAAACTGAGGTCTGCCTGGTTAGTCTAGCGCTGTGTTTGGACTGATAGGGTCGCTGGATCCATAGAGCCCATGGAAAGATAAAATCCTGACTGAGCAGGATTCAGCCTGAACTGTGGATCCCCCTCTTGGCCTCTGAGGTTTCTCACCACCGAGACCCTGCCCGACTGCTACCCATGTGCCCCCACCTCATCCCTTCCTGATCCGAATCCTCTCCAGAGTTGAATGGAACCAGCACTGAGGCCAAGGGGGAGGCCACCTGGTAAATGTGAGACCAGGGAAGGACAGTGGGTAGAGGCAGAATTAGGAAGAGGGACTTGGCAGGCGGCCTGGGCTCCCTCGCTGAGGGGAAGATGCGTGTTTTACAGGTGCTCCCCTCCAAGGGAAGAGCTGGTGAACACAGTTTATTCCGAAGTGCAGTTATCTGATAAGGTAACCCCTTTCTGGCTTTTTAATCCCTGTTTTCCCATCCCTTCCAGCCATGCCGGTGTACTCAGTCCATCCTACCAGGGGCCAGCTGGTTGCCTTGGGACTCCTTGTAGTTCTCAGGACTTACTCCCTAGGGTTTTGATCTATGTGTACTTCCACCCATGCACAGAGCCCCACTCCCCAGGCCAATGGCCACCCACAAGTTGTCCTACTTGGGATGCTGGTCGCACCATTCAAATGCAGAGGTCCCTAGGCCTCTGAACTATGGCACGGGAACTCTAGCCCAGGAACTCCAGCCCCTATGATACCGCGGGCCACTGCCAGCTCACGGTGTGAAAATGAGAAAACAGGTACTTCCCTCTGAGCAGACACAGACCTATACAGATGCCCAGATGGGCACAATGGAGCAGAAGCTGAATTTCAGCTCATTTGTTCCCTCAGCGGCCCTTTCACCACACGCAGCCTCCACAACCATTTGTAGTGTCAACTGTCTTGTGCCTTATGTCCTTCTCCGCCATATGCATAGCCCTGTGACAGGACTTGAACTCTCGGGCATCTAAGGAGGGATTGTCATATCTGAAGCTCCTCACTGCTGCTACAGTCAGGTCAGCTTTCGGGTTGCTTAAAGAATCAAATGTTTTCTACATATTCCTGTTTAATAGCTGAGTTACCAAGCAGGAAGCTAAAATGAGTAAGGATTAAGAGCGGATCCTATGAGGCAATAGGAAGGACATCTATGAACTCAACAAGCAGGGCAGTGTACTTCCATTTAAGGGGGACTTGAAGCACAGGGCAGTTTGCTTGTAGAGATAAGCCAAATGGACTGGACAACCAGAGAGAGGGACCTTTACTTCCTCAGTGATCAGGAGAGGGAAGGAGGAAGGAAAAAGAAGGGGAGGAATGAAGAAAGAAGAGAGCAGGGAAGAAGTGAGGGCTTGGGGCGCCCAGCATATTTGCACTGGGATCCCAAGGAGAGTTAGAGGAAGAAGAGTAACCTAACTTTCTAGCAGGTGTAAAGAGGAGATAAAAATTGAGGGATTAATCAGGGAGTCCTGGATTGTGACATCTCAAGATAAATCCTTATAGACAAGTTAGATGACAGTTATTCGGTCAGTATTTAATTTAACACCTAAGACTCCTCAAGCCAATAAGAAGGTTGTTTGTAGCCCTCTAAATGCTAGAGCACAGGGGATGCTAGCAGTGAGTCCCCACTATGTACAGGTTAAAGTAGAGTTATTGGGATACCAAAAAAAAAAAAAAAAAAAAAAAAAAAAAAAAAAAAACAGCAACAAGAACAAAAAGACAAACTAGGGCCCAACTAGGAACAAGGAATGCAGGTAGCTTGAACCTGAATGTTGCCTCAAGCCTGTAATCAAAATCCATGCCAAATACACGCCCCCCTCCCCCAACTCCATGCCACCATTCCCACCCACTCCTCTTTTCTGGACTAAGAAGTTAATTGCCCAGGGCCTCCCAGATGGGGGCTGGCTGGAGCAGACACAGGGACTCAGCAAGGAACAGGGCCCTGCTACCCCAGATTTCCCCAGCACCAGGCAAATCTAAAGCATCCCCCTGTCCCATTTGCTCAACTCCCATGGGAACTCTCAGGACTGGAGCTCCCCTGCAGTACTTTTCGGTTAACATGTGCTCACATCTTCGTCTCCTGCACAGATGGGGAAAGCCAGCACACAGGACAGTAAACCTCCTGGGACTTCAAGTTACGAAATTGTGATCTAGGCTGCCGGGCTGAGTTTTCCCTCTGGAAACTGAATTGCAGCCACCAATACTGGCAGGTTCCCTGAACCCAGATCTCCACCCAGCTCTTAGTAGGAGAATGAAAATTGCCATATTTCAACATGGAAGCAAAGCCGGAAACCTTCTGTTACTGGGCATAGCTTATGCCTAAGTGGACAAATGGATGCATACCCTTCCTGAAATGGCTCCCTTCTGGATGAATGACGAAGCAGGCTACCTAATATGGTGTTTCCCAAACTTCTTCCCATCGTAGTATATGTAGAAAATAATATTTTTATGGCACACTGGGGTAAACAATCAAGATCGCTCACATCTGGAAGCCGCATATGACCAGAGGCCTCTCGTGACTGAAGGTAACAAACTGCCCAGCAACTGTGGGAGAAGGGGATCAATGTTTTGCACACCTGTAACAGGCCACTGGCACACCAGCCAAGATGCTGTGCTCACCTCACCATCAATATGTGTGAAGATCCCCGGTGCATGGCCTCCCCCAGTCCCTACCTCACAAATCTGGAAAAGGTACCCTTCACTTGAGGCAGATGCAGCCCTTTACCCGGGTGCATGGCTTGGAGGGCAGAACGTGGGCTGCATATAAGCACACTCATCGCTTTCTCTGGAAATCTTTGTGCCCAGGCACAACGTGCTCAGTAACTCCAAACACAAATGATGATGCTGTGTGGGTCTCTGTCAGAGTGGTGGCTCTCAGCCATGTCAACACGCTCTCCAAATGGAGTGTTGGAAAATGTTCTTTCTGTAGGGTCTGGAGACTGCTGGGCATTTTTCGTGGCGTGCTACTTCAGAAGCCTCGTAGGATTTTCTTTCTGGCTAAGCTTTCCTTCTGTATCACTCCAAGCAGCCTCAGCGGAAGAAGCAGTCATGCCCGGTTTTCTCGCTTTCTGAAAGGAATTGACCAGCTTATATTTCTCACACTTCTGGGGAACTGGGTGTAATCCAACCATCAAAACAGAAGACCTTGCAAGAAGCAGAGTCATCCTCCAGAAGGAACTTGGGAGATGATGGTGCAGATTATGAATCTGGGTTCATCCCAGTTCCAAAGGCCCAGAGAACTACAGAGTTGAGGCGGAGGCAGACTGCCCCGACCCCGGCATCTGGTATGAACTAGAACCGTCAAAAAAAGACCTTATGAGGGGGCAGGGCTGAAGCTGGGCCTTGAAGGATGGATGAAATTTGGATAGAGAATGAGGAAGACGGGGACTCTCCAAGTGAAAGAAGCATGAAAAATGAGCAGGGGCCTGGATCAGTGGGGTGTATTCAGAGCACCTCTCCAGATGCACCATGCATGCTCACAGTCCCTTGCCTATGCATAACAGGGTGGCCCAGCCAGACAAGTGCCCTTCACCCCGTGTCCATTTACATGCCCTTCAATAACCACCTCAAATGGGCGTTATACCTCTTCTATAAAGCCTTCCCTGGTATCAGGAGTCAAAATTAATCAGGGATCTTTTCACATGGCTGTTTTGTCCCCTTTGATCCTTCTATCACTAGAACTCATCTCATTCTACCTTACAGCATCAATAATTATTTGTTTTCCTCACTACATTGTACATGTTGGAATTGGCGATAGACAGAAGCCGGCTGGGTGTGGTGGCCCACACCTGTAATCCCAGCACTTTGGGAGGCCAAGGTGGGCCGATCACCTAAGGTCAGGAGTTCAAGACCAGCTTGGCCAACATGGCAAAACCTGGTCTCTAACTAAAAACACAAAATTAGCCCAGTGGGGTGGCACACATGTGTAGTCTCAGCTACTCTGAAGGCTGAGACAGGAAAATCGCTTGAACCTGGAAAGTGGAGGCTGCAGTGAGCCGAGATGACACCACTGTACTCCAGCCTGGGAGAGACAGAGCGAGACTCCATCCCCACCCCCTGCAAAAAAAAAAAAAAAAAAAAAAGAGAGAGAGAGAGAGAAAGAGAGCTAGAAGTCAATAATCATGGTGCAATCAAATTCTGATAAGCACTAAATATCAGGATGCGGTAGCTCAGGCCTGTAATTCCAGTACTTTAGGAGGCCAAGGCCGGTGGATCGCTTGAATTCAGTAATTCAAGAGGAGCCAGGTTAACAAGGTGAAACCCTGTCTCTACTTAAAATACAAAAAATTAGCTGAGCGTGGTGGCGCACACCTGTAATCCCACCTACTCAGAAGGCTGAGGTGGGAGAATCGCTTGAACCTGGGAGGGTGGAGGTTGCAGTGAGCTGAGATCCTGCCACTGCACTCCAGCCTGGGCAACAGAGTGAGACCCTGTCTCAAAAAAAGTTAAAATAAAATAAAATAAATACCAGGATGCATACATCAGAGGCTGTTCATGGTATAAGGACATTTTGGAGGGAAAAGACTTTCAGAGTTAGGCAGACCAACTAAGAGGTCAACTGAAGCACCAAACCAGTTGTAAGGAGGTGAAAGGCAGCGCCCTAGAAAGACAGATGCAGGAAGAAGTAAAGAGGCTTGGTTGTAAAGGATGGAGGCGTTCCAAAGTGACACTGAACAGGCTGCGTTTCTCCTAAAATAAAACCAGTCCTCACTCCGTGGATGCGTTGAACACTCACTCCTGAACATCTTTATTCTCTAACTTGCCCTCTTCCTCTTCCTAATATGCTCACTCGTGTAAATTTCCTAGTGTCCTAATGCCCCTGTGCGTATTGTCGAAAATAAAAATAAAAATCAGAAGCCGATTAGATCTCTTAGGTCTTCCAGAAGGATGAAGCCAGAGCCCAGGAATTCTGAAGGTGGTCTTTGTGCTCAGTACACCCTGCTCTTGTCTCTCCTTTCACTGTTTGTCTCCTACGAATCTCCTGATTCATGAACACGTTAAATAGTCACCCTTCTCTCTAGGGCTCAGTTCTTAGACTTTCCTCCGTAAAATACATGCGATCTTATTTTCCTCTCCACAACTTTCCAGATGAACTAGATTGTGACCAACAGGTGTATAAAATCAAAGCACCACGGAACAGGATCTTGTATCCAGCCAAAGTGGGCCAGTTTTAAAAAACGTGCATCAAAATGGAAATATCGGAGACAGAGAGCCCTCTGGTGGAAAGTTCTAGTAGGTCAGGACAGTCTCTGCCTGCAGACACCTCGCACTTTACTGAGGGACTCAACTGAGAAAATGAGGAACACGGCAGCTCATGTTCCTCAGAAGAAGAAAGTGAAGCTGGTTTAAAATATGATTTAAAAAAAATCTATAGAACACTCCAAACTGCACAGACTATGAGAAAATAGCCTGGTTGGGCCAGCTCGGAAACCAGGCACAGGCAGGAAGGAGCCTGTCTGGTTTGTGCTGTGTCCACAGAGAGCGCTTCTTAGGTCCCGCCTGGAGAGAAGGAATGCTGGGCTATATTTTCTTCCAGACTCATTATTTTTCTTCTGTTTGACTTTTCTCTGAATTACTCTTGATTTGTATAAATTTTCTCAAGAATAGTGACAGTCTCCTACCAGTTGTAAAATGAAGCTTGAAGGCCTGGCACAGGTGGCCCACGCCTATAAGCCCAGCACTTTGGGAGACCGAGGTGGGTAGCCTGATCACAGGGTCAGGAGTTCAAGACTGGCCGGGCCCACACTGTGAAACCCCACCTCCGCTAAAAATACAAAAAAATTAGCCAGGCCTGGTGGACACTGTGCCTGTAGTCCCAGCTACTCAGGAGACTGAAGCAAGAGAATCCCTTGAACCCGGGTGACAGAGGTTGCAGTGAACCGAGATCGTGCCACCGCACTCCAGCCTGGGCGACAGACCAAGACTTCGTCTCAAAAAAAAAAAAAAAGAAAGAAAGAAAGAAAGAAAAAATGAAGCTTGAAGAACAAAGGCAACATGAGGAACTATAATAAGTGGTCTTAAACGTGGGCTCTGACAGTAGAGTGCCTGGGTCTGAATCCCGGTTTCTTAGTCATGTGACCTTAGTCAAGTTACTTTAACTCCACTGTACCTCAGTTTGTCCATCTGTAAAATGGGGATAACAATAGTTTCTACCTTGTAGGGTTGTTATGGGGATTAAATGAGGTGTTGCTCACACAAGAATGTGCCTCTGCAAGGCAAAGCTCTGGATTTTTTTTTTAATAAGCTGTTCTTATAGGCACGAAACCTTCAGAAGATGCTAATCCATATTTATGAAATAAGCTTCTTACAACAGAAATGCAGCTAGCACTATACAAAATTAATGTTGTATATCAAACTTTTAACTCTCATCCCTCCTTATGCAGATATATTTTGCTATATGCAATGTTTGCCTCCCCGTTATTATACCACAATCTATTTACCTGATGCTATCCCTGTCTCACCAGTTAGACTGAGAAAACAGAGGATATATCTAAATAATAATAATAATAATAATAATAATAATAATAACGAAGAGCTCCTTGAAGGCAGAGAGCCTGTAACAATCATTGAGGGTTTATTTTGTATACCAACTGCTAAACTAGATGCTTCATACATTGTTCTCAGTACTCACGACAGCCCTGTAAAGTAGAAATTAATTCTTCCAGTTAACGCTAAGGCTGATATAACGAATACCCTGGCAAAGTTGGAAAGCTGGGAAGACAGGAATTGAACTCAAGCCTTCTTGTCACCAAGGGCCATGCACTTGTACCCTGCCACGCAGTTTCTTCTTACCTCCTGTGGATTCCTCATACCTGGCCCTTGGCCTTAGGCGTACATACACCTGCACTTTGCTTAACACGTAACAGGTGGACCACAAATAGATACTGAATGAATACTTGCATATACCAATATTTTATGGTACTAAAAACAGCTCAAAGTAAATATATTAATATGTTAATTCCATTGCTATCTGGATAACCACTCAACTTTTCTGTTGAAAATGACCATTTAATTAAAGAAGGTTGGATAGAGCTCTCTATATGGATTTTGTACAGACAGGGGTTTCAGGTCATAAATACTCTGATGAGTTAATATAAAATGAGAGAAACTGTAAATTTCCATGACTAAAAATCACAAGTATAACAGAAACTATTGTGCTGAACAATTTACTGATTAAAAAAAAAACAGCTATGAATGTTTAGACTTAAATAACCCCCATCCAAGTGTGAGAAGCCCTTGTAATTTTTCAAAATATATGAAAGTGTTAATATATTTTGACAAAGGACCATTTAAAAAGTCCTGAATTCTGACTTAAAGAAGCAAAGCAATGACTAATACATTCTGCAGAGACTTGCAGACTTTGGGAATTCAGAAAGGAACGGGTGAGAATTATTAACTGTGCTGGCTGATCGCCCAGACAGTCCGGAGCAGCCCTGTATAAGTCTCTGGGTTTGGGATGGATCAACTCTGTAACTGGAAAATGGCCAAATCTTTGCAAATGAGAAAGATTTTTCTTATAAGTTCTTATTGTAGGCAAATAATCACATACTTTATTTGTCAGACAATTTTAAAATGCACATTATCTCAACTCTTTCATTTAAAACTCGTATTTCCAATAGTTTATGGGTCATCTCTGCATAGATGTCAGATGTCACCTCAAATTTAGTGTCCCAAATTGAACTGACAGGTCTGTCTCTGACCTCCCAACTTGCTTTCCTTCTGTTTTTCCTGTGCTAATGATTCACCATGATCAGAATAATTAACATTTATCCAGTGCCTATTGTATGCTATTCCCTGTCCTGTCTTACATTTACTCATTTCAAGACCATAAGAAACATTAAAACTCATCTGCCTTCTCAAGAAGATACAGCCATCCTCTGTTTTACAAAGTAAGAAGCTGAGTCACAGAAAGGTGAAGTCTTTAAGGCTGAGTCACAGTAGCTCATCCAACTAAATAGAAAAGCCGGATTCAACTCCAGGAGCTGGGTACAGGACTGCCATTCTTCACTGCTTCACCAGTCAGCAGCTACCCAAAGAAGAAAACGTTTTCATCCTTGACTCCTTCATTCTCCCTGTCACCCCAGATCTCCTCTACGTCTAGTCAGAGAATAGGTCCTGTCAATTTCAACTTCCCTATATGGCTTCTCTTAGCCATGTCCCTGTAATCGGCCTAATTCTCTAACACACCTTCCCTCTACATGCTCACTCCCTCAGATCATTGCTTTATCATGTAACACCTCGGTTGCTATTAGGTAAAGAGCAATCTTTCTAAAACAAAAGTTCTTATCACTTCACTTCCATACTAAATATTTTTCCTGGGGGACCATACTCCTTAGCAGTCTGACCCATCAGACCTTCCAGGCTGTCCCCTGCCTACTCTCTAGGCTCCAGCCACACAGAATTATCATGGGTCCACGCACCCACCAAACTCTCCCACACCTTTGCGCGTGTTGTGTCTTCTGTCTGGAATGCCCTTCTCTCCCTTCTGTCTCTGGCTTTTTCATACTTCAAGGATCAGACTGAGTATTCCCTTTGTGTGAGTTTCCAAAACTTCCCATCCAAAGCTGTGTATATAGCTCTCTATTTATACTTTTACAGCATTTGGTACACAAGCACAGAGTAGTAGCTTTTATCATATTCTATGATAATTATATAGCTATGGTATTTTCTTAGCTCTCTCTCCAACTGGTTAATAAGTTGTTTTGTCTCTGAGTACTTAATGAACCTCAGTTCCTCAAAAAAAGTTTATTGATTAGTTCATTACTAATTTGAACATGAAAATTATGTTCACTAGTGGCAAATGCCACTCACCCTATTCCAGAAGCTATGCATCATGTTTGCAGCAAGATATCTTATCCTCTC